ATATAAATAAAATATCTAGAAATAAATCCTACATGCATGGATTTTTGGGTCTTTTGTGAATATATTACAGACTGTGCTATAAGACATGCATATACTAAGTACATGGAGAGCTATACCATGTTAGTAAAGATAGTATCTTCAAATTGATCTATAGATTCGTTGTAGCTCCAATTTAAATCCCAATAGGATTTTTTTCATAATTGGACAAACCGCTTCTAAAATTCATATGTAAGAGCAAAGAACCACAGATGTTCTCAAGAAAAATAAATGAAAGCACAGTGTTACCCAACCAGACATGTGGTACTGGCACAATGAGCAGATTCACCAACAGAACCAAATCAAACTCGCACATACATGGAAGCTTGATTAATGACAGAAAACACACTGAAAACAAATGGGGGGAAGAGACAAACTGTACAATAGAACATCTGGAAATACATATGGGGGGTAAGAAACTGGATATCTACTTCACATCCAACACCAAAATCAATTTCAGGTGGCTAAAAGTCTTAAATGAGAAAGGCAGAGGTTTAAGAAGACAAGATAGGAGAACATCTTCATATCTCTGGGGTAGAAAAGAATTTCTTTCACAAAACAAAAAAAGCAGAAACCAAAAAAGAAAAGATTGATTTAAAAAACTATTAAAAGTAAAACTTCCTTCTTTTTAAAGTTATCACAAGGAAAGTGAAAAGAAAATCCATGAACTGGGAAAATATATTTATGAAACAAATCTGCAAGGAAATCTGATATGATAACCACTGGCCACTTGTGGTTAATTTAATTAAAAGTTAAATTTAAAATTTAATTACTTAGTAGCTCTATCCACATGCTGGGTAGCGGTGCTCAACGAGCACGGATGTGAAACCAGTCATCTCTCAGAAAATTCTCGTGGACAGCACTGATGTAGAACATGTACAGAACTTTTAAACTTCTAAAATGAGAGGCAACCCAATTTTAACAATGGACAAAGGACATTAGCAGACATTTGACAGGACAGGAAAAAAAGTACAAATGTATCATAAAAGTACAAAAAAGTCATTTCAATTTCATTACTAATCAAAGTAAAACAAATGAAACTGATGAGATACAAAATCAGTAATACCAAGTATTGCAAAGGCTACAGAGCAGCAAATTTCTAATACACTGTCTGTAGGAAGGTCACCCATAACAACCACTGAGGAAGAAGTCTGGTGTTACCCAGTCACATTGCACACTCTGGTACCCAGCAGTTCTATTCCCGAAGGGATTCTGCATCTGAGTGCGTCCTTCTCCCCACCTAGGGCATTTGGGAATTGTGCAGATACACATACCTCCACCACCACCACCATTTAATTGGCAGAGGCCAGGGATAACAATGTTCCTTCAATTAAAAGAATTACCCCACCTACACTATGTTCCAGGAGATATGAACAAAAATTAAAACAAACATCATTAATAGAAAAATGGGTACATACATTACATTTAATAGAATAGCACACAGAATTGAAAATAAATTCCCCTTGGCTACAGATCTCAACATGGGTGATTCGAAGGAATATAATGCTGAGTGAAAGTAGTAAGATATATGAATGAAAACAATATATTGAAAATTTATATAAAGAATAAAAATAATGAAACTAAATAATTAATTTGGGTGTGTGTGTGTGTGTTCAATACACATGCATACACAGAAGCAAAGGAACGGCTTAACAACGAATCAGGATAAGGTTATCCCTGGGAGAAGGGAGGAGACACCCACTAGGAAGATCACACAGGTTTTTCTACATAACAATCATGCTTTATTTCTTTAGCTGGGTAGTAGGTTGAGATAGTCATTTTAATTTCTCTATGTATATGTTCTATATACTCTTCATATATTTAAATAAAACTTGACAAATTTAAAAAAGGTAGCTTAATTGCATATTAGCTAGGACCCTTGACCATTCTAAGTTAAAATTAGTAACGCCACCTAACGTACAGAGTTGTTCTGAAATGCAGAGGAGATAATATGTGTGAAAGTGTGAGTGACGGTGATGGAGGACCTACTATAAGGGAGTAAACATAAGAGATAGGCAGTTCCCTAAAGATTTCGTCCTGGGGCCCTGGCCGGTTTGCTAAGTGGTCAGAGCGTCGTCCGGCGGACCAGAGATTTCGTCCTGGGGATCACCAAGGATCTCAGGGCTCAGAGTTCCCAGGAAGTTACTAATCAAGTCAAGAAGACAGTAGGAGTCTCTGTTTCCTCACTACAAAAGGGGGACAACTCCTGTCCAGTTCAACCCACAGGAGTATCATAGTGAAGCACTAGCAAAGTATTTAGTACATATGCAAATACAAGCTTTTATTATTGTTACGGTGACCAGAGGACCGAAAGGGAACTGAAGTCGGGTCAAAGAAGAAAAAATTATTTAGGACCTGGGTACTTTATTTTATTTCTCTTTGTTTTTCTTTCCATTTAATTTGTATTGGTTTCAGGTGTACAGCTTTAGTGCTGAGACAATCATATACTTTACATAGTGTTCCCCCTCATATATCCAGTACCCTAACTGGCACCATACCTAGTTACACAACATTGTCGACTACATTCCTCATGCTTTCTTACATCCTCATGACTGTTTTGTAACTAGCCATTTATACTTATACCCTTCACCTCTTTCCCCCATCACCCCAACCCCAATCCCCTCTGGCAACAACCAGTTAGCTCTGTGGGTATTTTTAAATTTAGGCTAAATGATCATGATAATGACATACTAATTATCTCCAAATACTGGATGCAAAAGAGGCATAAGATCTATTTATTCAGGATTCTTCCAGAGGGCAGATTGGAGAGACTAGACAAACGTTAAAAGTGCATTCTGGGTCAGTATCAGAGAGAACTCTTCACATTCAGAGAGAGGAGACAGAGAACTGACTATGTGGTAATTCTCCTTCATATGAATTATTGATGAAAACAGAGTTAGTGCCCTGGCCAGTGTGGTTCAGTTGGTTGAGCATAGTCCCCTGTACTAACAGGTCATCCGTTGGAGTCCCCGTCAGGGGACATGCCGGGCTGCAGGCTCACTCCCTAATAGGGGGCGTGCAGGAGGCAGCCCACTGATGTTTCTCTCTCTCTCTCTCTCTCTCTCCTCTCCTTCCCTCTCTCTCTCAAGTCAATAAAAACATCATCTTTTAAAAAAGAGTTAGCGGAGACTCCTATTTTGAATGAAAATACAAAATTTTAAAGTGAATTTTGTTAAACTAAAAATACAGGTAATTTTGTGTGGAACTTATTTTGAAAGCTTGTTTAATAGTCCTGAGACTACAGGTAACTCAACGTTTTGAGGCTTCAGCTTCCTCATCTGTAATAAGGACAATATGTTTTCTTCAAGGTTATTTAGGAAAACCGCAGGGATAAAAAATGGAAATTGCCGAGCACCAGGGCCCTAGAAGGGCTATCATTTTAAAAATGTGTTACTGAATGCTTCCAAACTTGTTCCCACTTACATAAAGCAAGGACATCAGTACAAGAAAACAAAACAACCCACACGCTGAAAAACAGTGAAGGGAGGACTTTATCTGTTACTTGAGGGAAGGCAGCAAAACTGATATCCCTGGATCAGTTTCTTTAAAAAGTTATCAAGTGGCCGCTGGGCTCCCCAAAACTTTCCTTGAACGTGCTTTGTGTAGAAATCTTCCCCCTATAAAACCCTTTTAAATCTCATGATCCTAAAGCATTTTCCAGTTTGCTGGAATAAAAATAAAACAGGAATTCTGAAGATAAGACTTGATAGAAGAAATCACTTCATATTCATTATCATTTCAGGTCATTGGTTTTTAAAAACACCTAACGCTCAGAAACAAAACAAAACATTCACAGCTGCTTATATCCTACACATCAAACCGGAAGAAACCAATAAAAAAATTTTAATGTCTATAAATAGGAAATGCTGAACTTCAAGACTAAACCTCAGTAATTTATTATAAACAACTAACAATCCTATATATAACTTCACTCCAAAGACACTTGCAAAGCTTTTGCCTCTTGTATGGCATGTCTCAAGTTCAGATCAACTCAAGCTGTTTTCCATGAATAAAATAAAGGCAGCATCTCAGAAGTTCACATTGTTATGTGTTTTACAAAGCAATCTCTTTACTTCGTGGAGTAAGGAGTGCTCTGCGACACGCGCTGGTTTTCAGCTTGGTCCTTCCTGTCGATCACGTAAGTTTCCATCCCAGCTTCAAATTACCGGTCGCCGGTCACATCATGTAACGAAGTGGGTGGACTAGCTGAAATTAAAACCCAGAATCCTCTCTGCCACCCTTCTTTTCAAGCGCAGATCAATTATTTAGGACGAAGTTCACCAATGCTGTTTTAATTTGGGGAGCAGCCCATGTGAAGCCAGCTATAAATAAAGTGAACAGAATCTGGCCTCAACTTTTTTGACTCCACAGAGCATCACAAGAAGATGGGAGGAAAGAAGCAAAGGAAGAATACAAGAGGAGGAAAGAGAAATTTAAAAAAAAAAGCCAATGTCCACTGAGTGGCTTCTATGCCTGAGCCTCCCACATAGGGATTTCACTCACACTCAGTTAATTAGACATTACTTCATTCAATTCTCACAATCCCATAAGGCAGATACTACACCCCCTTTATGTAAGACTGGGGCTCTGCAGCTCAGAAAGGCTAACTGGCTTACCGGGGGTCACGAGTAAGTAGGAAAACCAGAACTTGACCTGCGCTTGTCTGATTCCAAAACCTGGGCACTGTGTCCTGTATCACGTGAAATAATTTCCTAATATTTTTAAACATGAGTAGTTTAGGAGTTTCCAAAACAACAAAAAGGAATTCAATAGTATATCCCAAGTATAGCACGTATACCAGAAAACTATCCATATAACTGTTATTTCAACTGCCTGTAAGAGCGTGAGGTGGGAGGTTGTCACCAGTGTGTCGTCTGTGAATTCTACACGGTCCAGAGGGCAGGAAACCTCACGTGGAGGCAGACACGGGGACAGCGGGTGTCAAGCACCGAGTAGCGTCTTACCTGCTGCACTTCACTTTCTCCATTTGAGATTTTCTCAGTGTAAACAAAGGAGTTGAATATCCGCTGCAACAAAAAAGAAAATGCACATTAGTTTTCTAAACAGCACAGCCATTCTCTACACGAGTGTATGTGTGTGTGTGTGTGTGTGTGAATAATTTGTTTACACCACAAACAGAGTCAAGCACAAAAAAATTTAATTAAAGTACAGTCATTTTACACAGAGAAATCCAAATATCAGCCAAAGTCAATCACACTTACATAAGCAATACCCAGGCACTTCTGTAGTGAAATAAACCAGATGTTACACTATATTTTTCATTTTCAAAAATACATTTAATTATAGATTTCCGGAGCCCATGCCATTTTATCCGACCGGTATAATCTGACAAAGTTGTGTTTCTCATTTAAATCCTGAACTCCCTGAATGCTATAATTGTTTACAGACACTAAAATCCAATGTAATAAAGCTCTTTGAAAAGGATTCTTTCCATATTCTCTCATGTCCCTGTCCAACCAGTCCCTACCCATATTATCCATCACCTTCGTTACCTAAGCACCCCCTCGGGAGAGTAACATAACAGGGCTTGCCAACTATGCGTGGCCTTAAGAGAAGATGCAGTTTTTACATGCCAGGAAATATGACGGCCGTGCCAAGACATGAGTCCAAACTGTGACACACAAGTACACATTCTTCCACTGGTTTCTGCCTCGCTGGTGCCCATTCCTCCATACATTGCCTGCATTTAAAATGCCTCTGCAGACCCTGGACTTCATCAAAACCTGTCGTGACTAAGCAATCACAAGAAATTAACATATAACACACAAACAAAAAAATGAGAATCCAAGATATGTGTCTAGTAGAGGCACCAAAATAAAAAAGAGCAGCAGCCTCATCATTTCTCCTAAAACTTGAAGGATACCTCTGCAACGCCCCAGATGAGTAAGGGGTCAGACCTGGAGACGTCAGCCAAAATTTCCCTTTGGCCTTTGTATCTCACTGCCAAGGGTTTGTCAGCGTCTGGGACAGCTTCCCAGACAGCCTAACACACCTGCAAGGTTGTGATGAGGAAGACAAGTGCCAAGTTCATCAAGTGCTGTGCAAATGAAGGAGGATCGGGGTGCGGGGGGGGGAGGGGGGCAAACATCTTGAGAAGAATTGAGGTGGAATGCGATGGAATTACAGGCTAGAAAATTCTATTTGTGCATTAGCATAATTTTCCAATGCTCCACTCATTATTTTCTCTTTCTTTCCTAAAAATGACTCTGCTGATAGGAAAGGTACAGACTTTCCGTCTTGGTGATAACATTAATGATATTGGCTACTATTTACTGAATGCTGATGATGAGGCAGACACTATTCTGAGCCCGTCACATCTATTTACTTATTTAAGTCTCATAAAACATCTTTGTGACGGGTATTATTATCATCTCCATTATATAGATGAAGAAACTGATATGCCTAATGCAGTACATACATTGGATTTCATATGCAAACCTTATTTAGTCTTTATAAGAAAATTACTGCAGCTCCTACGATGCAACAGTAAGAGCCTGGGGAAGTCACATAATTTCCCCAAAGTCTTTTGGCAAGGCTGGAATCTGAACCCAGGCAGTGGGACCCCAGATCCGGTGCTCCAACCTCTATTGTCTCATAAGGATTTGCTACCTATCCATATATCCATATAAAAACCACTCCAGTTAGGAGCTAACACCAAACATAATGCAGACAAACAATCCTCTATGTGTAATTCTAAATTCAAAAGGTACTGGAAATCAGAAGTTTTGTATGACACACCCATTAGTAAAATGTGACATGACCTGAACTTATTTGGCAGTAAGCCCTAACTTCAACTGACACGTATTTATAGTCTTCATTAAACCATTTAGTGTGAGTATTCATTCATTTTGATGCAGATATATTAATGCACAGGGTTCTGCTCCAGACCTTACTGGGGGTGTTTTACCATCAAGATCGCCCTGGCCTGTGTGGCTCAGTTGCTTGAGCATTGTCCCACGCACCGAAAGAAAGCCAGTTCGATTCCCAGTCAGGCCACATACCCAGGTTGCAGGTTTGATCCCCAGGGGTGCGTGAGTGAGGTAACCAATCAATGTTTCCTTCTCCCATCCATGTTTCCGTCTCTCTCCCTCTCCCTTCCTCTCTCTCTAAAATCAATAAAAACATAGTTTTTTTAAAACAGCATCAGAATTCTGAATCCTAAATAGATTGTTTCAGGAAAGGGATTATGAACCTGTAGGCTTCCCTTCCTACAACTCTAAGTTCCCAGTTTTCCGGTAAGCACCTTACAATGCTTTTAGAGGCTGGGTCAATGTCACTACCACCCATAATCACATACTAAGTATTTCCATAGAATTTGATTTTCAAAACCTGCTCAGTACCAAGAAATCACTTTTTTTTTTATCCTCACCCGAGGATATTTTTCCATTTTTTGTTCAGATAGAGTGAGAGGGAGGGAGAGAGAGAGAGAGAGGAAGAGAGAGGGAGGGAGGGAGAGAAAAAGAGAGAGAGAGAGAGAGAAATATCAACGTGAAAGGGACACATCGAGTGGCTGCCTCCCACACGGCCCTGACCCAACCAGGGCCGGGGACAAACTGCAACTGAGGTACATGCCCTTAGCGGGAACGGAACCCGGGTCTCTCTGGACCACAGGCCGGCGCTCTAACCGCTGAGCCAAACCAGCCAGGGCCCAAGAAAACACTTTTATTAAAAATTAACATGTTATATAGAATGTCTCCAGATCTTGATGAGTGTGGTCGATTTCTTATTTCATTTGTGGCAATGACATCCCAGTGTTAAAAGAACAGCGAATTTCTCAGCAGTATAAGGAATGTATGCCGGGGAAGTGTTGAGGCGGTTTCAGTCCGTCTTGCTCAATTATTACCTTAACAATTATTCACAATGACTGCTAATACTCTTACGTAGATATTTTCATGGCTTGTAAACATGTCTCTACACCAAGTACATGTCGATGGGTAAAAGAAAATTTTAAAAGCGAAAAGGAAGCTATAGGGATGAGCCGTAGTGATTCCGTAGCCTTCTTATGTTATACAACCCTCAGCCTGACCCCTCTTGCAGAGGTGAAAGATGGTCTGACCACAGTTTGGGGCTATCACCAAAGAAAGAAATGTGCCCCTCTCCTTTCCCTGTGGGGAGGGATGGTGGTAGTGAGAAGCCAGCAGAACCCAGACAAGTAACTCATAACGAAACAGGTGCCTGCAGCGTCCAGTGCAAGGTCACAGGATCAGGCATATGTGTGTGCGCAAGATCTCAAGGTGCAGAGGGAGCCTCCCCGACACTCTGGCTCAGTGACTTCCAGCTGGTGTGCCGCAAGGAGGTGTAAAACATGCAATACCTGACTGTTTAGTTGTTCACTGATTTCTCCCTCCACCCCCAACAAAAATGACAATGGCCAAAACAACAATAGCCATCCAGTGTGAATGAATCAAAATTATACCTATTTTTTGTCGGATCAGCAGAAAATATATTTTTTGGTGTGCCATAGGATTTTAGTGTGTCATTTGATGAAAAAGGTTGAAAATCGCCACTCCAGTTCAACAGACAGTACTCTTCGTTCTTAAAACACAGGGCCTGCTAAGCCAAGCTCTCAAAGGCCTAGGTTTAGTACTTTCATAGTTTTATAATTTCACAAAAATGGTCATGTTTGATCCCCACAACAACCCTGTGTGGTAGGCAGGGATCTGAAACCAATTTTATAGATCTAAAAACTAGGGCTCAAAAGTTAGACAATGTTTCACAGGTAAAAAACTCAAGTGCTGAGGTTGGAACCCAGGTCTTGAGTTAAAAACAAGCATTGCTTTTATTATTTTTTTTTTTTTTGTTTCTTTATCCTCAACCGAGGACATTTTACCATTTTTTGTACAGATAGAGTGGGAGGGAGAGAGAGGAAGGGAGAGAGAGTGAGAAACATCGACGTGAAGGGACACATCGAGTGGCTGCCACCCACACAACCAACCAGGGCCGGGGACAAACTGCAACCGAAGTACGTGCCCTTAGCGGGAACCGAACCCGGGTCTCTCCGGACCGCAGGCTGACGCTCTAACCGCTGAGCCAAACTGGCCAGGGCAAGCATTGCTTTTAGCAAAGCTATTAAGTTTATTCACCGCATCTTTTTGTTCAGGATAATCTGGGAATCCTAATGCCTGCATGTAGAAAAAAAATGAGCATTTGGGGTTTCTTCTATCCATTTATCTTAAGCAAGATACAACGTGCTAGTATAAACTTATACATATCACCAACGTCGGAAATGACTAAGAGTCCCAGACAAAGGTTTTTATTACTTTCTATTGCTACGTGAAACTATGAAAGGCATAGAATACAGGATTGTGGGGGTGTGGATGTGTGTGTGTGTGGGGGGGGGCTTTCGTTTTTAATTTGAACCAAGAATTCCAAAGGATATACCCAGCTGTATTTGGTGACTTTTGGGTAGAGTTTCTTGGTTTCTAGAGGACTTGGAAAATGTAAATGGAAAAGTTTCCCTAAAACATAAAAATGATGAGCAATCCCCAAGATCAGCTTCTTCAGTCCTCGAGGAGGATTTATTCAAGGAACAGGTTAGGGACTAGGTGGGTGGGTAGCCGGTGTTCTATTCCCAAGTTGCCATGTTCCATATCCTAGTCCCCTGGGGGACCAAAGGAATTCCAGAAATTTGAACTCTTCATTTGAGCACAACCTAGAGGGAGTCTGAACCCTCTCCTCAGTGTACAAATCCCTCCAAGTAATGGCCAGGACACTGCCCACCTTTGCCCATTACTCTTTCTCACTCCCGTCAAATACCGAAAGTAAATGTGTTTCATTTCAAATTGAAAAGGTCATTAAAATGGATGAGGTTTTAAAAAGTTATTTTACCCAGAAATACTTCACTGAATCCCCCTTATTAGCTAAATGCATCCCCACACTAAAAAGAAAACAACAGCAGCAAGACGCCTGATTCTTCATGCTCACAAAAACTGAGTGCTCCAAAGACAAACTGACCTGCCTCTCAGTAACGCACCCGCTTTGGAAAACTGGCAATATCTTCCAAAGT